ACGGTACACCACGTAAGTTGGGAATCAGCCTGGTGGCTACATGCTGCACTCGCTCAAGCTTTTCTATCTCACCCCAGGTGATAGGACAATACGAGGGAGATCCATACTCTAGCATTGGTCGTATTATCGAGACGAAGAGGCGAGTAGCAATCTCTTCGGACCAAGTGCTGAAGCTGCGCCTGAGAGCCCAAAGCATCCGAAGGCTGTTTTGGTACAGCCTATTCGTGTTGTCAATGGACTTTAGGTCGCAGCGTGAGAGCACACCGAGGTCGCGCACGAAAGGCATGGGATGCAACGGTTGACCAGCCACCGTGTAGGTTCGACAGTGCTCACGCTTACCCAGCCTCAAGAATTGCGACTTGACCGGGTTGATTGGAAGGTTGAGCTCTGCAGACCATGTGCAGAGGCGGTCGAGGTCCTGCTGAAGCAGGTCACAATCATTGGGTGTTCGGATTACTCTCCACACCTTCAAGGCATCTGCGAACAACGTACAAGGTGATTGGAGTAGCTGAGGCACATCGCTTACATGGATGCGAAACAAAATCGGCCCCAGTACAGTGCCTTAGGGCACGCCGCTGCTCGCTGGATACCATCCGGTTAAATGGTTGTCAAACTAGACCCCCCACTTTCGATCCAGAAGGGAATTCCTGATCCATTGGTGCAGCGAACCACAAACACCGCACATTCTCAGTTTGTCTAGGAGCACTGCGTGATTTACCTTGTCAAAAGCCTTAGTGAAGTCAATGTAAATGACGTCGACCGATTCGCCTTGGTTCAGCGCTTGTAACCATTCGTGCCCCGTCTACAGTAGGTTGGTGATGCACGAGCGACCTTTCACGAAACCATGCTGTGCGGGGGTCAAGAGGCTTTTCGACTCGAGAATCTGCAGAAGGCTCTTTTTCACGATCTTCTCTAGCGTGTTTGCCAAAACACCGATCAAGCAGATCGGTCGGTAGTTATCCACTTTGCTTGGGTTACCACTTTTCGGTATTGGCTTTACGACTGATCATTTCCAGTCACCCCGTAATAATCCAGGGGATAGTGACCTGTTTAACAGCTCAGTTACAGAATTGGCGATGATGGCCTATAGGGACTTGCGAATCAGTGGGTGGATTTTATCTGGCCCAGCAGGCTTCGTCCCGTCAAGATTTGCTAGAAGCTTGCGTACATCCTCAATACTGCAGCCTAGACTGCAGTATTGTGGATGTACGCAAACTGTTTCAAATCACTTTGGCTTTTCATTTAATGGACTTTTACCCACCAACGCTTCCGATCGATTTTAGTACTTGTATTTAGTCATCCTTTATGGGTGTTACGGATACGCTGAAACTGAACATCTGTCCATACAAATTTGCCTACTTTCATCAAAATAATGAAGCTCCATACACCCATAAGCAATTCGTAGGTCCTAAGTTGGATGGATACAACCCTTCAAAGGCTTTCTTCACACTACTTCTAGGACGATTCGGCTCATCCACCTCGTTTGTTGTCGGTAACTGATGAGTCAGCTCTTTATGATGCTACTGATTTGCAAACGGCTAATCCAAATGATGAGCGACGAGTCTTGAAGTTGGACGATTTTCTGAAATCGGAAGAGGGAGCACCATGCTTACTAGCACCAAGCGGGGGGGAGACATCGGCAGAACGTTAGAGTGCTTCGTTGACACGCAACTACCACCGCTCGCGCCTGGGCTAGTTATATTGCAGGTCGCCTGCTCCTACGCAGCTTCGGTTACAAGACAGACGCCTTATCCCTTCGGCCACCGGCCGACTTTGGCGTAGTCGGAATCCAGTCACTTGCTTCATGTTGACCTTTACTTTTGGGCTGATGTGCGTCATCTGTAGTTGGTGGCAATATTGTAAAGTTTGGTACACGTCCTTGTGGAGTTTGGCGAGTGCCAGATGGCACGATATGCATGTTTAAGCTTTTAATCATTGCTTCTAATATAAAAGTTGTTTCACTACGTTGTTGAGAAAATTGATTGCTATCATCTGTTCTGGAATCATCGCCCATGAGACGGCCTCCAAGTTGTTGTTCGACAAGCAACCCACTTAGATATTCATGTTGCCGCCAACAATTATCATATCCATATTCCTCGCCAGTCTGACTAGAGATGTGGGCCACTAATAGCATTCGGACTGCAGTCGGTTGAGGCATAAAGCGAAGCGACGAACACATATTTGTCTTGGGACAGAGGCCTGAAGTCGAACTGAACGAATGCGGCGTTCACTAGGATCCAACGGAGTCAATTGTTTCTAACATCTTTACTCCGGTAAATACCGACACTATAAATTCCTTGAATCCGTGATTCGTTATCACCAGAGGCGCGATGGATATGATTCTTTTAACAGCAGCTTGACCAGATGCTCGACGCCACGATTATGTATGCGGATCTCATCGACACAGCCCGCATGAATTCCAATCGAGTGGAGAAAGTCAACGATCTCTTGACCTATCCTACCTAAAGTGTTGACGTTGTAGGAGTTGTCATGAGACGAGTAGGCCCTTGTGTCTAAAAGACGTCGGATACATCACTGGTATCAATTTTTAACCACAGATAATATTTTGCTCATTAACCGAGGAAGCAAATAATTGAAAAAGAGGATGATAATAATACAGGAATGAGTATTGGCCACCTGGTCTTGTGAGTACATGATGATCTCTGACTGCCTATTTCGATAAAAGGTGTCTTTATTCTTGGTTATCCACCTCTCTCTTTTGACTCATTACCACACAATGCACCTCAAGCTTGGGAGTGTGATTGCGCTATCCCGTTGGGATGTAATTAAACTGTCACACGCGATGTTTAAAAATTCAGAGTAACTCACTTTTTCGATTCTGCTATGTTGCGCGCCTAAAACCGCTGACAAACGCAGATGGGTTTGCTGATTTGTGCCTTTTTGACCCTAAGCTGCCTGGGCTAAGGCGGACGACATCGAACCTTTGAGTACTGGCAGTACTCTCCCACGTTCAATAATAAGCATGGCACTCGTACTCTAGACTAACCAAGCTGCACGTATGACCCGTGAAGTCTTGAAGAAGCTCCTCGACGCCTCCCTATCCCTCGAAGAGGAGAATGTTGTAACTGACGTAACCACTAACCCGTTTGGAGTGATTGACTCTGGATAGTGTCACACAGCGCATCTCAATGTGTCACGGAGGTACGCAGCCTACCGCACCACACTAACACCTAATCATCCCGCAATGGATCGGTATGAATTAGTAGCTAAACAAGTTGCGCCTTGATCTTGTGCTCCTCCGGTCATTTTTATTTTTTTGCTAAACCAATGAACATGGGGACAAAACTTGAAGTTACCTGGTCTCAGCTGTGTATTGGTCTCTGTTTCACTACGGAGTGATTGAGCCATTAAAGTCGTGCGTTGTCATATACGTACCGTCAGCTTTTGGGAGAAGGCCGTTGGTGCATACCTTGTTTCTTTCGCAAGGCCAACTTTTCCAGGAGCCGACTTATTGACGTTACCCACTCAATCACAAACGGAGGATCCTTTCTATCTGTTGCTCATCCGGAAACTGCCATGTTACGTTTCATATCGGTAATCTCATAACTAAGCCAGACTCTTCAGTCACTGGTCTGCATATATCTGTTTCGGCTCATAGGAGAAAGCGGTCCGACTGGGTCGAACAATCGGGTTCTAATACTATGGATCCTTGGCATCTTAATCCATCTAGGGGCTGAAGTGAAGTGACCGGTCGACGAGCCAATGAAAGCCACTGTGATCGTGGCGGCATATAATTTCTCGTGCCGGTCAGTAATAATAATCATAATAACTATTACCTCATGGATTTGAGACGACCGAATGTCTCCCAGGTGAACCGCTTCGTTGCACTGTCATCTGCATTGTAACTTATTGATAAATAGAAGCGATATCGCGTTTACAATATTGCGCCCATTATTGTGCCACTGATAATCGTCAATAAAATTGTCTAATCATGGCACTCGCAGTCATCGTCGAGCAGTATCAATACAAACGAATGTCCTTTGAGATAAATGACACACCATCCACATTTTTGGCTCTACTGTATTTGTTTAGTCAGATTAAAAAATATCGCATTCTTTTGAGAAGATAATGTCGTACACAGCTCATCCGAGGCAGCGTATAGCGTACGCTTGTAGGCCTGTTTTCGAAGTCTTTAGCGGTGGACTCCCAGCCAATAACAAGGTGTTTTTAGTTAGAAAATCATCGATCTTGCTGCTAGGTCATAAATGGATTTAAGTCACTGCTCAAGTATATTCCGGCGATTGGAAACATCCCTGTGGCCACGACTGACTGCACACCGCGAATGTTCTTGGGTCATGCAAGATAGTACAGCAAGTTCATGCAGCCCTGTGAGACCCAATATCTTCACTATTTCTATGTTTCGCCCTACCTCATTATACTTAACTGTCTAGTCTTTTCGCGATGTTTGCGGTACCGCTATTAAATAACTGGAGTTGCTACGTTTCATCGGGGAATCGTGTGCTCTACTGTCGTATCACTCAGTAACTCATTGGTATGAGGCGGATGTGCTTAGCTTCAATTTTTCCAATGCGTCTGGTGCATGCAGGTGTGTCTATCAGGTACGCCAGCTTTACTCGACGGCCTAAATATGTTCCTTCTGTTTCGAACCAAGGCCTTCTTAACCCCCCCCCCCATTCCGATACATGCACTGAAAAAGCTGCTACTCTCACACCCTTCGACCTACTTTCCTTGACGACCTTTAAGTGAAGTCTGAGGAAATTGGATTCGCTGCCATACTCGGCTGACCATCTTATAGTATTTTAGCGCTTGGGCAACTTCTACTAACGCTTTGTGCACCTTCAGTTTGAGAATATAAACTAGCCACTGGACTAATGCAGCTTATCTCCTATCACCTCTGCGCATAAACCTACATGCATTTTGATTAAATTTCACTTTTGTTCGTTGCCACATATTTCGATAATTATGAGACCTTTTTTCTACTTCCACATTCTGTCCAATTTACCACTAATGCTCTAAAGGGGTGAGCCGAAAACTTGGTACGGAGTTCCTCGACCCCACGCCGAAGACTTCGAGCGGGCCATGCGGAAACATGCCCCGGAGCTGTTCGAGCAAGCACCTGATCTGCTCCATCATATCACCACAAACATGAATCCTAACATACTACAGGCCGAAGGAGTGCCTATCTACCGTACCGATCAACGCTGCGGTGAATTCGTTGTAACTTTTCCTCGAGCCTATCACTCCGGTTTCAATCAAGGCTTCAATTTTGCAGAGGCAGTCAATATTTGCTTGCCCGACTGGGTATGTCACATTTTTCCGGAATACATGTTCCCACCAAGTAGGAGTAAATAATGCCGTCAAAGGTGCTTAACCAACCGTTTTTGAAAGGCTCTTTTATTCCTTAGTTTATATCTTGAACAACTGGCTATTGCATTATTTATTCACCAACCTTACAGCTTCCTATCGGGAGATCTTGTGTGAAGCACTACGCCCAAATGAGGAGACATTGCGTTTTCTCAAATGACGAGCTCCTGTGTACCCTAGCTGAAGTTGCTACTGGTCGTGTTCCCGCAGAAGACGTTCTCTTAGTCACAAATCCTTACTTTCCTCCGGGAGCTACAAAACCTCGCTTGCCTACTGGATGTTCCACTGCCGGCTTGGACATCAGCGCAGTTGCAATCGTTCATCAGGAGTTTAGCGTCCTTTTGTCTGAGGAACGACGCTTAAGACAGATCGTTTTGAATCTCGGAGTCGTTCGTCAGGAAAAAGTTCGTTTTGATGAGTTACACGACGATGTGCGCGTATGCGATGCTTGCCTGACCACCTTATTTTTGTCAGGAATCAGTTGTCCCTGCGCTTCAACTGTGCAGTCGCCCGTGAAACCATCTGATGAACGCGAAAATGTCATTTCAAACGGCAAGAAACGTGCGTTTCCATCAGCTGCTGATTCAGCCAAGGATACAGTCAATTTGGACACGTCCTCTGATGGTGCGTGTAAATTTATTTTTAAGTGCTACGTTCTACCGCCGGTTGCTTTATGTCATTTGCTACTTTGAACTACATTTTAGCACCATTCCGTCCATGCCCATCCACTAAACTGATCATCCCGTCATCTCGACGCTTACTTGCATGATCATTCAGCTTTCCTCAGATGTTTCTCCCTTTACCTTAATGTCTTATTTTAATTAACCTACATTCGACCTCTTGGCTTTAGTTCCTTTACCTGCAGCAGTTGTTATTTATCATGCTACGATGGTTTCTCATAACACCTACTCTTCAGTGCCTGCGTGTAATCATGTATACCTTTTTGAGCATCAAATCCGCCATCCGCACATGTGTACTGCTCTGGTCGTCATACAGAGGAGCGCTATGTATGCGCCCAGCTAATTCTTTACATGGACCCTGAAATGTTTAGTTGGTCCTCTGTGGGCGTTTCCTGCTGCCACCAAAACCGACCATTATCGATCACATTTCTTTGGCTTCTTTGCACAGAATAGCATGGCTGTGAGAGCGAGTTATTGACGACATACATGCACCTGACACAGATGGAAGCTTACCGAATATCCGAAATCAGTTATTCTAACTAGACCATCCTGAGACAGGTGTTTTTGGATCCAGTGATACAATACTAGAACTGTCATACCTCTAGCATAGAGTGTTCTGCTGAATCACACCGCATTCGTTGAGGTGCTGCCTACTTGTGTACCAGTGTAACTACCTTGTGTGGACGATATTGTCAACTCTGGGTAGACTTTGGAATAGTCTCCTCATATGAAATGTGCATCGCCTGTTCAAAGTGCCAAGTGCTGTTTAATGACCTCCAGTCACCTACTAATCTCTTGCCTCGATGAGTAACTAGTTGTTGATAGTTTCACCTATTTTGGCATCTCCGTCATCTGGTCTCGACATGACCTGAGCTTTTGTCTACAAGATCGAGTTTACAATGCTACGAGAGGAGTGATGTTGTTCAGCGTGTTTCTCACCATGCCCTCTGTACGCGCATTAGTCGACTGAAAGCGAAGGCAGGGTAGTCAACGAATGATTTTGGGTCAAAAGTGTGAAGGCGCCAAGGTCAAAGTTGCTCGTGGTCGAGCGCTGTCGAATCCCGGACTGGGGGAACAAGGACCACGAAGACGTCTGGCTGGAGGCTCTCTCAAATATGGCAAGATATCGCACTCAGTGGTGGACATGTGAGGCCATACACCAATGATTTCAATTTCACTCTTGTTGTTAAGTTGTTTTTCTCTCTATCTCTCTCTTACCTTATTGTATTTGTATCTATACCAATTGTACTACAGCAGAATAGCCACCTCACCGAGCGACGAACTTACCAACCTTAAGTCGCCAATTAATTTTGGTATTATAAGCAGTTTGGTCCGAGCACTGATTACAACGGACTAGTTAGGGGATACCCTGTTTTCTTCATGGCAGTAACATGCAAGTTGTTGGATGGTGAGTAGCACTATATCACATATAGTCACCTAGTCACGTTGATCACTACCATCCCCCGTAGCTCAGTGGTCTTAACCACACACTGGTGACGGTCGAGTTGCAAGTTCTAACCACACAGAGGCCAGATGGAATGCGCACTGTTGACGATTCCCGAAAGGATGAGACGGCAGTGCAGGGTCCTTTCGGGCGTGTGACGGCTCTCCGACTAAATCTTCCTCAACACTCACCAGACACTTACTGACTACTTGTCAACCCTGATGAGTCCTTCACAGCCCTAATGCGCGATCAGCGACCTCAAATCCTTAGGCTATTGGACGCTATCGTTATCGATCGCGAACGACCACCGCTGTACCTTCAAAAACAGCAGACAGTGGCTCTGAGCCTACCCTGGTAGTCCATGCATTTTGCTATCTGTGACCACCGTTGGTTTACGTTCCATTGTTGCATGTCTTTTGTACTTGATAAGAATGTACGAAATCATGGCGTCATCTCACAAGCTGCGACTTTTGATTTTTATGTTTGGAATCATAAAGAGAAATGCTCGTTTCAAATCTAGATGTGACGAAATTCATCTTATACCATTCGAACTGTTACTTCTGCGCTATATATATATATATATATATATATATATATATATATATATTCTTGATGCATTCTTGATGCTTCTTCACCGCAGTTGGGCTAAACCAACTTACTCTTAAACTAGGTCTCTTTAAGCTGCATAAATTTCATTCCAGTTTATTTGGTTAGTTTTGCCTATCTGAATAGTCTTCTATTAGCTGGCCACGTCGCTTACGCTAATTGCGCTTATCTGCGGTAATTTTGTTGCGTTTGTAGCATTTTTGAGTAACCTGTGGACATTTTTTCCTTATCACGGATTCATTGCTAACCGACTTACTTCATATGCTAACTTAGCGAAGAGTTATGCCCCCGTATCTGTATGCATTATTGGATTTATGTTATTTCATTTTGTCGTTTCAAGTGATTGGCTGTTGTTTGATATCACCGGTGTGGCTGCGCTTGATGTGCATGTTGACAAGGTGCCTACCTGTCTATTACCCACTACCTCGTCCATACTGGCTCCAGGAGACAGTTGGTCGTTGCTGGAGGGGACGGGGTACACGGTCCTTGTGGCCGTGCTAGGCTCGAAGAGTGGTTCCATGCACTCAGTGTGGAACGGACTACGATCCAGCCACCGCCTTGTGTGCGCTTGATTCCCCAAGTGCAGTGTGCTTGTGTTTGCCTGTGAAGGAGTGTGGGCCGGCTCCGTTGATGAAACGTGGTTCCCATCCACATGCCTCCCGGTCTTATTCCTTCGGGTTTACACTGGATGTGGGGTATGTGGTTGGAGCTGTGGGTGGTGCAGCGCAAGCCACCCATGGTCCCTCTGTAGGCGCAGGCGTCCTGTGGCTTGCCACAGTGACAGGCAAATCCGAAACCGGATGCCGCCAACCAATATATATATATATATATATATATATATATCAAACATGGTTGTTCGATCTATTCTATTACCGAAGATACCAATAAACTTTACATTTACCTCTGATGAGCCGAAGTTCCACCCATGACCACTTTTTCTGATGTTTTACTATTATTTTTTTGTTTGTAATTCAATACCAAGAAAAGAAAGCGGACACCGTGTATCGCGTTTTCTTTGTTTTTTCTCATAGTTTTCGTTCTGACTTGCAAGTATTGTGCAGAATAATTATGCGGCCTACGCAAATAATTTTATCAATTATCCGTCCCGCGCCAGGCATTCCTTCCATTTCTCCGGCCCGGTGTGAAAATGTTCGGTGGCATCTGGCATATAAGAACAGACATCGACTCATTCCAAACCATGGATATAGCAATCAAAAAGAGTTAGATGTGCAACACTTGGGATGGAAGACTAACAATGTAAAGCAAAGAATACCATTAATTTTGTCTTTTTCACACGCCATCTTGCATGCGTTGTAATCAGAGGCCTCGTAGGGATCGGGCGACTCCCGCAGTATCCTTAGCTCGCGCGCGACCGGTGGTGGTTACGCGGCAGTGTAGTGTTGTTACTGCGTAACAGGGTATTGCTGATGCCCTCATACGTGCCATTTTTCACATTTTTCATTTTTTATGTAAGATTTGCTATTTTCTAACTCGGAAACTCACGCAAAATGCACACCTTGCTTCCACTACAACAGGTTTTGCGCCATTGCTTCGTGCCTTTTAAGTTACCGACGTTTTTGTCTTTGGGTTCTTTACTGGGAAAACGTATGGGGCCAGCAATGGCTAGACAGGATGTCAATTCTTGCATGTTTTACAGCCAAGTTTTTGACTGGCTTCTACGCCGTCTCTCCCAATGCGGCCCTGCGAGCACAAATATGATTCGGCGTAGTAAACACACGTTAGCCATAAGTAGTATATGGCCAACCCAACTTGGGAAGATCCGTTTCCCCCAAGACATCATCATTGGGCACCCGGTTTTGCCATTATACACGGGCGATATTCCGCAGACACTGTCAAAGGCCGAAAGGCTACACATGTCATCCAAACCGATCGGACGGGATTTGTACCCATACAAGAGTATCGTGCGAACACAGGCATCGTAAACCATATCCCTTAATGTGTGCGAAATGTCGCGACGATGCCACAGATGCCTCGAATTGACGAAAGCCGACCAGACTGTCGCGATACGAAGGGACACCTCCTCTCTAGTAGTGCGTTCTTCATAAATGCAGCTCCCTAGGTAGACAAAACTATCCACACTCGAGCTGTATTCGCACGATCGTGAACTGAGGAACGGGTGTCTACCAATCTTGGAGGGGGCAACGCACACCATAACTGGACGCTTCAAACACTAGCCGAACAAAGATTAATTACATACCATGAAATTCGTCCCCGATCAATGCGATATCATCTGCGTACTCTAAGTCGGTTGCACGATCACCTGTAAGGAGTTTCATAGTACAACTTCAACTCTTCTAAACCTCCTAGTTTTCGTAAGCGATATACCTTTATTTGGATCGGACCCAGCTCTGAGTACCATCGTCTATACATGCTGAGGCAAAACGCCGCTCACTTCTTCCTGTTCTTCGCACTATCGAAGTGCAGAGTAGTGCCGCAAGATCAACTCGAGACAACAGTAATTCTCGTAATCACCGAACAGCCATTCGAATAGTTGCTTTGTGTGCTTCAGCTGGGCACTACAGTTATGCATGAAGGTTAGATCACACGTTAGGCACCTGAGCTCGTCAGTTTGTGCCCATGGGATTTCCTAGAGTTTCATTTATTCGGATTGCGTCTTCATACCGTTGATCTATTACATAGTGGGTTCGATCTTTGCGAGTAGCGATGTGTCTACCTGGCCCATCTCGGGGTGACATCTGAACAGACGTCCACAATTGGTTTTGTCTATTAGTAATGTTGCCAGACGGAAGTGTGGTCTGTCGAACCTCCTACCTTAAGGCAGTATTTTTCCACTCGGCCGTATGTGACACCAGACTTCAGTATCCCTTTACTGTTGGCGCTTTTGTCCCTTGTGCTATTCAAATCTCCACATTCCCGTATACAATGATGGTTCTCGCATTGATTACATCCTTCCAATTGACCCCACCTCTTGCAGAATGCGAACGAACGCGGCGTTTTACGGTCTGTTTGAATCATCCGGTTGAGCTCTGTTCCAATTGTCCACCAGTTACTTGGACCCTCAAGTATCATCATACTATCGAAGAGCTCGAGGAACTTGATCGGTCCTTAGGACTTTGCTTAAAGAACTTCTACGCTTGGAAACAGCCTCTATCCCGATTTTTGAAAAAGATAGAACCCAATGGAGCCGACGAGTCAACAGCCTCTACTGATCCCGTTAAGGTCGAATCGGATTCTAATGACAACTGCACAGTGGATACACAAACTATGTCTATTTCGGAGCTCCGGGTTTGTGGTCACCCATTTATAATCGTTTTCTATTTATTCTGAGCCCCTTTTCTTTCATACTGTCACACTCTCCTGTCCGATTTGTTTGTCCCGAATTTTACACTCGGATGGGTTCTTGCACGAATCCTCATAGGGATGATTTGTCATGGTAATCTTTCCATCTTTCAAAGCCCTTATTTCATTAAATTTTATTTGCTTGGGATGCCGGACAAATTCTCAACTTTATGCAATTTTTCCCGAGCCATGGGATTCTCAATCCCTAAGTGCATCACGACAACTGGGGTTCCTCAGTTGTTTCTTCTCATTTTCACGATTGATAAAATCGCAAATAGTTCTGTCTTTACTGTGTCCCATAAAACAGGCTGTCAAACCGAGGACCGGTTGTTAGCCACCTGGCTCACATACGTCACCGTGAGGATCACACACGACAATAAATTAAAGTTCCTATATACATACATGTATATATAAGGTAAGTTTGCCACTTTTATAAGCACGTACCGTCCGACCATGTGTTATCCTGATGACATGCGTGATCACTTCTACACTCAGCTATCCTCTGTGATACGGTCTATGAAGAGGAGCGACTAACTCTTCCTGTTGGGTGATCTAAACGCGCGCGTTGGGCATGATGTATGGGTGTGGACAGATATCATCGAGCCGCTTGGCATTGGTTCAGCGAATGAGAACGGTAACAGGCTGCTCTCATTGTGCGCAACTCACGGCCTCACAATCACGAACACTCGGTTTGCCCTGAGGGTGACTGCACTGAGGGCAGCTTGGACACACCCACTGAGTGGTCACACTCGCCTGCTCGACTATGTCCTGGTACGTCAGCGTGATATGCGTGAAGTGCGCATGACACGTGTACTACATGGAGCAGAGTGTGGCACTGATCACAAATTGGTGCGGACCCAAGTGTATATATATTTTCGTAAATCTATGTGTTGCACTCCCACCGTGAACCGGCGTAAATTTAACCTTCTCTCTCGGTACTGTAGAGAAGCGTATTGAGCTGGAGAACGCGATGGCTGCACGCCTGTGTGATGTGGACTGCATAGCCACAGTGGGCGACCACATTCGTGACCAGGTGACAGCTGCTACCGAGGAGACCATCGGGCGCGCAAACTGTAAGCGACCTGATTGGTTTGATGAGAACAATGCGACGATTGATGTATTGTTGTCTGAGAAGAATGCAGCATTTTCTGCACATGTAGCAGACCCCAGTAACTTGGGATAGAAGAGAAAGTTTGGGCGAATACGACGGCGAATGACACGAGAGCTGCGTCGCATAAAATGTACGTGGTGGATGGAGGATGCGAATCAGATAGAATGCTACGCGAACGCAGCTAACACGAGGAATTCTTTGACTCCTTGAAGGCGGTGTATGGACCGCGGTTGGCGCCGCTGAGGACGCTGATCGATGGTAATTGAGGCGCTACCTGCACACGGACTGCAGACATAATGCAGATCTGGCGGAACACTTTAACTGGCTCTTGAACAACCGTTCAGAGATCGACTGGTCTAGTTGGAACGGCCTCAAGCAGCACGATGTGAAGGCGAGTCTGGCGGACACGCCGACACTGGATGAGATGCAGAGAGCAGTTGGTCAGCTGCGAAACGGCAAGTGTGTCTGTGTCGACGGGATCTCGCCTGAAGTATTGAAACACGGTCTACCCGCGTTGGTGACTGCGCTGCACCACTTGATGCAACTCATGTGGATTGAGGAGGAGGTGACTCCTGAGCTGAAGGATGCGCTTGTTCTACCACTGTACAAGGGTAAAGGGAGCAAGCAATGTTGCGCAAATAACCGTGGCATCAACATGCTGAATTGTGTGGGCAAGGTGATTGCGCGAATCCTGCTCCACCGCCTCGTCAGTCATGTTGTGGAACCGAACGTGGCGGAAGAGCAATGTGGATTCTGTTCGGGTCGCAGCACAATGAATGTGGAAGGGGTGTTTGCGGCTCGTCAGTTTCAAGAGAAGAGCAAAGAACGACACTGGCCCTTATACTCGCTTTTTGTTGATTTCACCAAAGCATTTGATACGGTGAACCTCGAGATATTATGGTTGGTGTTGGTTAAGTTTGGTTGTCCGAGTATGTTTGTTAGTTTATTTGAATGTTTGCACAGTGGTATGCGGGCGGCATGTGGGGAAACCGAAGCTTCCTTCTCAGGACATGATCAAAGTGAGCTTATCACGTTCTAATGGTTATTGCAGGTTATGGGAATTGCAGGCGGTTGATCGGCGTGCATGGCGCGATCTGATCACGAAGGCAGTTGTCGAAGTGCAGGAGAAAGCTCTCATGCATGCGGAGAAGAAGCGGCGAGTTCGTAAGCGACCGTCGCCTTTGGTGTTTACTCCATGGACATCGAGCGCATGGTGTTGTAGCACATGCGGTCACGAGTGCCTGGGTCAGGCAGGCCTAGTGCGCCACGAGCGAGGCCACTCGGGGCCAGCATCGAAATAACGACGAGTCCCAGCTACGAACCTAAGCAGATCCGGCGCAGCGTTTGTAGGTACGCTGCATTCGATTTACTACCTGCGTGCTTGCATGCTGCATTTCTTTACTTCAGAAGCGGCCAATTAAAGCGAGGGCGGCGTTCCTTTATTGGCTGTAAGTTGATTTTTCCAGAGCTTTCCAATCGTTATCGTGGTCTCCAAGTTCAACGCGGTACAAATCTTCAGTCGCTTGAACTGAGATTCAAAGGTGAGGCCAGCATCAGGGTCGTTCGAGAATTCGCTAATGCTGTTATTGATGGCGTCAACCGATGCGGACGGCTTGACGGTTGTAGATAGTGGACCGGTCTGGATTGAAAGTTGACGCGTAAAAGTTTCGATCAGCGTGAGTTGGGATGCCGCCAATTGTGCTTGCTGCTGCAGCAGAATGGCCTTTAGCTCGTCAGCCGATATAGACATCTTGATTAGGATCCCACCTCCGTCGCCAGCTGAAGTGTTCGTTCCCTTGCCTGAATGGACACTTGATTGATTCCAAATGAAAACCCGAAGTCGCTGCCCCCCACAAGACAGAGAGAAGACCGGATCGGACGAGCAGAGCAACAAGGATATATTAGCGATTCACACCGTTCATTATATAGGGGAAATGGGGAGTTCGTGAATGGTATTTAGAGCGAACGTGGAAAGCTTTGGAAAGATCAACTTACAGCCAATAAAGGGACGTGGCCCTCGCGTTAATTGACCGCTTCTCCCGGTTGGCCCTCTGTTCGTCCCAATCAGGGCGGGTGAGCTTGGATCGCCTGCCACGGCCATGGGGTCCTGGCTTGTTCGCATCGCGTATTCCTTCCTAACAGTTAGGATTGACTGCTAAACGGGCTGCAGCTATCAAGCGGAGTGTCGGATTCTTGTGACAAAGGGATCATTGGATAGCACTTAGATCACCCTATCAAATGATAGTACAGATGATGAAATGCACTCGAAAATAAGGTTGAGACACACCTGGAGTTCGGTGAAAATCCTCCTGAAATCGCAGTATTAGATGCAGTGATTGTGTGTGCTAAATGGTACTGCAGTGGTAGATCTACTGAATAGCGCTAGTAAATCCGAGTTGAATAAGTGTAAGCATAGTAATGTGCGTCAAGTATTTCAAATGCTAGATCCAAAAGCAGAGGAGCATCGTTTCAGTGTGACCACACTGATATACACTGAAGAAGCCGAGATATTAACTGATTCTACATGACGAAGTCAGAACAAATCCTGCGATTATAAAAGGTATATTCAAAGTGCAGGAATTATAACGAAGGATCATTCTCAAAAAGTGGAGAGGCAAACGCTACTGTATTGACTATGACAGGCTCGATAGCTCTAACCACGTATGGATATGGCTTATCGTATGGAGGTAACTGAACCCAACGCACATTGTACTGGCTGCGAGATTACGAATCGATTCAACAAGCGCAGGGAACGGTAAAGCACTGGACTCACGAAAACAGTTTTATGAAAACAGAAATGCCATCAAAAAATGGAAATTTTGAAATTTAAACGACAGTAAAATCCTAGGTTGTAATCTACCGAAATAGTGTCTTCAAGTGCATTACAATGGTCCTGAACTTACACTTCACCACTGAGTTATGTTTGTTTCGTGTGTTGTATATACTGTTGATTCCACAGTGAGTGACAGGCAAATCCGAAACCGGATGCCACCAAACATCTATGTGTGTGCTTCATGCTGAGGCTGATGTTACATTCTTGATGCTTCTCCACCGCAGTTAGGCTAAACCATCTTACACTTAAACTAAACCTTTTTAAGCTGGATAAATTTTTTTCAAATTAGTTGGTTTGTTCTGCCTACCTGTATAAACTTCTATTAACTAGCCACCTTGCTTACGCTAATTGCGCTTATCTTCGGTAATTTTGTTGCGTTTGTAGTATTTTTATGTAACTTGTGGACATTTCTTACTTATCACGGATTCGTTGCTAACCAACTTACTTCAAATGGTAATTCAGCGCAGATTTATGCCACCGTATCTGTATGCATTATTGGATTTATTTAATATCAGCTTGTCGTTTAAAGTGAATGGGTGTTATAGTGTTGCTCGTCCCAACACCGGGGTGCCGGTGTTGGGACGAGCAACACTATAATGTTCATTTTACTTACGGTCTTTTTGATCGGAATGGCCGAGGTCCACATCAAGTGAACCGAGGTCTCAATTGAGGTTGCTTGTAGCAACCCAGCCACCAGCGGATTCTCCAAATTCAACTTTGAATGGGTGTTGTTTGATATCTCTGGTATGGTTGCGCTTGATGTGTATGTTGACAAGGTGCCTACCTGTCTATTACCCACTACATCGTTCATACTGGCTCCAGGAGACAGTTGGTCGTTGCTGGAGGGGACGGGGTGCACGGTTCTTGTGGCCGTGCTAGGCTCAAAGAGCGGTTCCATGCACTCAGTGTGGAGCGGACTACGATCCAGCCACCGCCTTGTGTGCGCTTGATTCCCCAAATACAACGTGCTTGTGTTTGGCTGTGAAGGAGTGTGGGCCGGCT